TTCCTTCCTTCCTTCCTTCCTTCCTTCCTTCCTTCCTTCCTTCCTTCCTTCCTTCCTTCCTTCCTTCCTTGTCCAGAAGATTCTGACTGATGACCTAACCCATCTTCTACTCACTTTCACCGCCAATGAAGTCAACACCGTGTGCAGCACACATCACTGGGGCAGAGACGTAACATGTTAGGCTGATCCCTTTTGTTTGGACAAACTTTTCAAATGGGCCTTGGGTGCAACGTTTCCTGATCCACCGAGGTGTGTTCCCAGGGACAGCCTGAATCTCTGTGGGCGAAACGTGGAGGTCTCAGTTTTCCCTCTTAGAAAACAAAACCTGGGGGTAGACAACAGATGCTGGGTCTTGCTTGAAAGGCTGCCCAACTGCCCAATGGGAAGATGGAAGGACCTGGGATGACCCTGGCGAGCCAGAACAAAGAGCAGAGCGCAAACTTCCCATTTTGCACATGAAAACAAATGCCGATGTCCTTTTTAGGGGGTTGGGGGTGGAGATTTAATGGGTTTGAGCAATAACAGCTTCACCAAGATTTAGGCTGATCTAAAGGGTTCCTCTTTCTTCCCTTCCCTCCTTTCTCCATTTCTGAACAGGGGCAGGAAATTCTTGCAGATTGCCCAATGACTCGTCCACCCACTTTCACTGCCAGCGAAGTCAACAGCAGGAACTGCACAAACACCCCTTTCTTTATAGGCTTTTAGTCTAAAGTCGCCTGATCCATTAGGGTGTGTTCCCAGGGACAGCCTCCATCTCTGCAGGTACAACCTCAAGATTTAAGTTGCCCCTCTTATCTTGGCAGCGGGCAAAAGACTGGTAAACTCCCTATTTGCCCTCTTCCGCAATGCAGCAATTCAAGAGGGTAGTTCCCCATTCAAAGAAGGAACACCATGGCCTTTGCACAACGAGTCTGACGGGGTTATGGAGTTAACCTATTTCCTGGGTTATGGAACTGTAAACTAACCAGATTAACTGGGCTGGAAGGGGCTGGACTGGCACTGAGGAGACCCGGGTTCATGGCTCCAGAAATTCTGTGGAAAAGTTTGGGTCACTTAGGAAAACAAAGAATCTTCTTCCTTCTTTCTCAGCATCTTTGTCCCCACCTAAGGCAACATTACGCAGTACCAAGGGCTACGTTTCTTGAATCAGGGTTTGAATACAGGCCTCCCTTCCACGCATTTCTCAGTTTCAGCACAACCATTTATTTATTTACGTACGTATTTTCATTTCTGCAGCCGCCCATCTCGACCAAGTGACTCTGGGTGGTGAACTAATTAGAGGCACCCCCTTTGATCAGCATGATTATCCCAACCAACGTAATCAGAGAGGGTTCCCGAAACCATCGGATAGTTATCAAAGCATCTTGTAGCTCCTAGATTCCAGAAAGCTTTCCTAGTGTGGAGAAGTTGCGGGTGGAAAACTGCAAATAAAATTAGCAAGCCACAGAATAAAGAAGTTCTCCTTCTGCCCGACATGCACACCCTTACCCACTTCTCCTGCCTTATCCACAGAGCATCTCTGTGATCCCTATTTCATAACCTAAAAGTGTTGGGCCTGGACCAGCTGGTTCTCACCAAACCTGTCATGGGGTATGGCTACAATTGAGAAGATCATTTGAGGAGAGGTTTAGCTGTTCTTGGACAGATCTGATCCCAAAGGTTCACGTCCTGATGGTCCTCTGACCCATCAGTCATGCTTCGATCTTCTCCTGGTCTTTGGCACATCCTTCTTTTAATCTGTGTTGTATCGCCCCACAACTGTGCATCAGATGGACTGAATGTACTTATGTAGCTGGAATATCCGTCCTTTTGTTCATTAAGGTCATTACCCATCATGTTTCCTAGAAAAGGTTATTCACTGGCCCCAAGGTTTCATTCCATTCAAACATGGATTCCCTCTGGTTCAGCTAGCCTTTGGCCTCTGTATCTTTCCAACACCCTCTCTTGCTGAGCCCAGCCTACCACACAGGGGAAAACTGGGAGGAGAGGTGCCACCTTGACCTCCATCAAGCTAAGAATATTGCCTAGAAGAATCATGTGGTTCTGTTCATGTAGCATCTTTCCAAAAGCAGATTCAGCCTGGTGAACCAGGATTGGAAACATTCAGCCATTTGGTCAGGAAGATGTGGCATCTGATTTTCAGCTTCCATTCTGCGTTGTTTTTTGTCCATCCAGCCTGCACCCATCATGAGATTCTTTGTAGATAGATAGATGATGATAGATGATAGATAGATAGATGACAGATCATTTTTAAAAGAAAAAGAGAGAGAACAAGCAAGCAAAAGGAAAAAGGAAAAAATAATTGGTGCAGAAATATAATCTCTATAAGTGGACCAAGGAAATCTCAGGATAGCACAGTTACCGGTCAATATATATTTGATTAGAAATTAGCCATAAAAATCATTCGATTACATTTAAGCACATTAAATCATATTTACCAATATAAGTAAGTCTCTGAGCTGAATGCCAAAATCTCCACTCTTGGAGGGAAAAAAAAAAGGAAGGAAAAGAAGAAAAGCTACTAAAAACATATTACTTTCTAATTCCCCCTTTGTCATACTCTGATGAATAAACAATATTTATAGACTTTTTAAAAACATTGTGTGTTTTTGTGTCTGATTTCAATTCTTTAGTCACTTCATTTCCCCCCATCACCAAGGCTTGAAGCACTGGAACTTGGAGCAAAAGGATTTTTAAAAGGAATTAAATTTTGGGGATCAAACGAGTGATTGCAAGATGCTTCTGGAAAGACGTGGAAGGAAAGTTGACCTGGAGGTGTGTGCAGAGGACACCTTTCCTTGGGGTCTCAGTTCTGGAGACCTTGGTGAGCACTGCACATTCAGAGCCTGCTAAAGAGAATTTAATAAAAAGATGCTCAGAAGCCCCGTCCCGTCTAATTTTTCAGCCCGCAGCCCGCGTGCAGCTGGGAGCTTCCACCGTTCCAAGCTGTGAAAATTAATCCCTGGTTTGGACAAGAGGAAACATGGCCCACAGCAAAAGTACACAGAGATCTGTGCAAAAAGGATGTCAGGTAATCCCTCATTTGAGGACACACCCCACACACACCTGGTGAACCTCCTTAAACCCCAAATATTTGCCGGACCAGCCTACTCCAGTATATCTGCCCCACAGGCAGAGATCTCAGCAGGACATTTTGCAGGTCTCCACAGATACCTGGAACCTCAGCAGGTAATTCCGCTTTTTCTAGGGCTCAGACCAGGGAGCCCCTTGCCACTGGGTGGAAGCCAAGGCCTTGCAGTTTAGGCTAGGGCTGAAACTACATCTCCTTGTCCAATCCTTTGAGTTGGGGGGGGGGGTGTGTCATGCTACTGAGAGCCATGAACTGAATCATTACACTGACTGTTAAATTGAATTTTTAATACTGTATGCTGCCTAGAGGGAAGGGGAGGGAAGGGAAGGGAAGGGAAGGGAAGGGAAAGTGTTGGGATTTTTATCTTTGCTCAGTGCCCAGACTCACTGCTGTGAGATGGATGGCCACATATATTATTCAAATAAAATAAGAAAGGAAGAGAAGAGAAGAGAAGAGAAGAGAAGAGAAGAGAAGAGAAGAGAAGAGAAGAGAAGAGAAGAGAAGA